TGTATGATCTTATACAAATTGCATTAATCCTGAAAGACAAGTCATTCTCCTTTCTACAAGAAACAGAGTCAGATGTTTTTCAACTTGGAGTCAAACACATCAAGATCTTTATTGAAAATTATTTTGAGTGTCTTGCTCAAACTGATGTGGAATTGGCTACTGCGAAAGGTATTGAAATTACTGCACCAATGGCTCCTACGAAGAAACAAGCAGATCTGAAGAAATTTGAAGATGGTGAAATCTGCTTAAAACCATTGGGGATTGTCTTCGCAGGAAAAGACAAAGCTGGTGGAGCAAAGCGATTCTTGTTCCAAACGTGCGAAGTGGAGTGATATGCAACTTCTCAGTATACGAACTTAATTGTTCGTATGAACCAATGCAGGAAGAATAATGAAGGAGACAAGAAGGAGATTAAGAAGGTCATTTCATGGTACACAGAGATACGAAGAGTGATGATGTATTCAATTCAACTGCTTACAAGTTGAAGCCATCGACTTTGATTACAAAGGGGGAGATTGTAAGGGTAAATAGAGTTGTAATTAGTCGAAGGATTTCATGTCTTCGAATGTACTGAGTCTTCGTATCTTATGTAATCTATTTTACTAAGGCATTGTATTCGAAGCTTAACTCATAGTCCTTAGTATATTTTTTGTACGCTTTCCTCTCTTATAAATAGGAGTGTTTACTAGAGTCATATAGAGGAGTCTTTACAGAATTGACATTTGTACTCTGTAAAACTTGAGAGCGTAATAGAGCTGAAACAAGATCATATTTACATCTGTGTTCAAATCTCGCAATCCTACTTTGATCATTAAACTCTGATTCATTTCATACTCAATTAATTGTTTCATCAATTGGTGCATTTAGGAAAACAATATTTGCTAGAAACATTTGAACCTAACTCTCTCTCTCTCTCTCTCTATATATATATATATATATATATATATATATATATATATATATATATATATATATATATATATATATATATTACAACTTGTAAAGAATGTGTATATTTTACTAACAATTTTCCTAACCACAATTACTCCACAAATCTAGCAATAAATAGATACTTCTTGGACGATAACAACTCGTATAAAAAATTAGTATATGACACACTTTCACCATAGTTGTCATCGAGTTAGTAAGTAGATATTAATTCCTAAGCCTTTGGTAGTCTTGTTGACTCCTCTGCCATATGCAAAAATTTAATTGTTTATTGGCCTTCATGCCAAATTCCAACTAATGGTCAGGTCATAGGTAAGAACTGACTTTGGAATCATATGTTTCGAAAAACTCTTTCATTAAGACTAAGTTTTTACAATTCTTGATTATGGCATTGTAGATTAGGTTTTGGCTAAGATTAGGCCATTTTACTAGTTGTTGTTTGATGCGAACTGGAACCTAGCCGCCAGGCCTTGGTGTTGGATATGAATTGTATATCGAAAATGAGTCCTGCTAGTGAGTTCTTGACTTGATTACTCACTTCCATAATATAACAAAACCATTAGAACTACCCCATGGACTATGACCCGGGAGAAGGTTGTGATGATTAAGTTAGATCAGTGTGTGAGATGAGATGGTTTCTCTTGGAAAGAACCAAATTAGTGAGGAGGAAAATATATGTATATAGTGGAGGATCCTCCTTATGGATGAGGCACTACAAATAAAATTAATTTAGTAGAAAACACATTTTGTGACATATTTTATTTTGTTCTACTAAATTGTATTTTTAGTGACACATATTAGTTTGTGCCACTATATCTATTAAAAATTCTAATTCCCAGTCGTCACTTCTGATTCCCTCCAAAATCAAAAGCACCAGACTTTGTATTTTTGCCCTAATGACTTGAAAAATCTAATTTTAAGTTGCCGCTCCGAATTCCCTCTAAAGTTAAAATCATTCCACTTTGTATTTTTGCCCTAACTAGTCGCCAAAGGAAGAAACCTTCTTTTCACTTCCTAATTCTAGCCACCAATCATGCACGAGGACCACAATTCCATGGACAATTCATCCCCATATCAGATCAATGACCACCATCTTAGAGTGACGATGCAGCCCCACATCGAACCGACACAAGGTTCTTGGAGGCGGAATAAACCCCCGTTTTTAAGTTGCTCAATTTATCCATGCTTGGTGATAGCATATTTGATTCTCCAACACCACTAACTTCTACTTTCTCAAAATATTCCACTTGCGTAACTATCTTATGAACCCTAGCAAAATGGGGAATAACAAAATTCATGTCGGATAAACGATTCCTTTCCATTCCAACAAGGTTCGATTTAATTGATTTCCATTTCTTTGAAAACATTAAGTCTAGACTAGTCAAATATGTTTGATTTTGAAACAATATTGTAGATTTATTAGTTTTTGATTTTTTTTTGTTCACTTGATTTTAATATGACATTCAAATTTGTAATCGTGGGTAATTTGGGGTTTTTAATTGTAGGAATTTGGGGTGGGCAAAAGCTAGAGTGTGTGTTTATGGATTTCGGCCAATTCATTAATGACCACCAAAGACCACATACACTGGAATTTTATTCCAAGAGATGAATCAAGGTGAATATGCTTTAATAACTTATACTTTGTGCTTAAAATTTTTTACTTTTCAATGTGATATTTATGTGGTTTGATTTTTGAACAAATTACTGAAATAGTCCATGTGGTTTGGCTAAAGTTGTGCGTTTGGTCCCTGTCTTTTGTTTTGCACTTGGACCATCCTCACGTTTTCTTTTTATTACCCGCCTGGTCCCTGGGTCCGTTAGTCGTTAATTCCAAACGTTAAGTCCACCCACGTGCTTCGCACTTGAGGGGTATTTTCGTCATTTTATACATAGCGCCTAAATGCAATGCCAATCGTTTCTTCATTCCGATTATTTTACGATCACCTCCCTCTCTCTCTCTCACTTAATCTGTAACTCATCAAAATCGAGTAGAAACCCTAACTCCTCAAAATTCTGCAAGAATCATCGAAGCAACAATGGTGGGTTGGAGGATTAGAGCAAACATGGAAGAAATAGACATTGAAAAACATTACTGTAACCCCTTATTTTCAAAAGTTAAATTTATCACTTACAAATTTCAAGCTAATAAGTTGAAGCTTTCTCTTTTACAGCTGGTCATCCAACTGTCTTCTCCATCAGATTATTCTATGGTGGAGAGTTTAGGAAGTTTTCTGGAAGGAGGTACGTCAAGGGCAAAGAAATATACGTTGATCTATTGGACATTGATGAGTTTTGTGTGAACGATATTGATGAGATGATGGAGACCTAGGCTGTGTTGAGGAGGGTAAGTTGCTTTATTACCACTTCAAAAGACCCTTTTCAGATTTGGACTTCGGGTTGTTTGCATTGGCTAGTGATAGTGACATTAACCATTTGGGTACATACGTGGGTAAACATAAATTGATTGAAGTTTATGTTGAACATGGTAAAACAATGTTGCATACATATACAATGTCATCTACCCCTAGTAAAGTTAGGATAGAAGAAATCGTTGATCAACCTTCGTGTAGTAGAAGGCTATTTTTGGAATGGAAGGAAACTGAAACAGGGGATTGTATTGGATCAAGTAAACCGGATGTTGTGCCAACAAAAGAAACTAAAAGTGACCAAATTGATGCCCAATGTGAAACACAAGGTATATTTGATGAATTTGATGAAATTCTAAATGAAGAACTTGGAGGGATTACTCATGAAAGTGACAATAGAGATGATGCTTATGATAGTGGTGATAGTGATGATAGTGAGTTCTTAGTAGACTTAGATAACCTCCTAGATGAACCTGAGATAGACATGAATGAGTTTTTGTTAAATATTGATGAAAATATAGAGTGGGTGGGTGATCTTGGAGGGTCAAATGTCAAGGAAACAGAAACAAGGGAAATTGATGATATTGAGGTTGTAAACAATGAGGTATTCTTATATGAGTCATCATCGGATGAAGGTGGGAGCAACAGGAGAAGAAAGTCAATTAAGGCAATTCGAAGGGCAATGGAAAACAGTGAAGCAAGAGTTAGTGATCCATTCTATGTGTACCAAAATTTCACCTAATCTGAAGAATTGAAAGATGCAATAAGACAACATGCGGTGGAGACAAGGAGGGAACTAGACTTCATAAAAAATGAAAAAAATAGAGTGAGAGCTATTTGTAAAGGTACTATCCCAGACCTTGGTCAACTTGACCCATGTATGCCCAGTCAAAGCAATAAAGAAAGTGAAGAAAAGAAGTGTCCATGGGTACTTTATGCTAGAATGTGGGAACAAGATGTTGACTGGGAGATCAAGACCTACGAAAAAGAGAATAGATCTCTACAAACAAGAAATGTGAAAGCTTGTACCTACAAGTTCTTGGCAAAGAAAATAGTGCGGCAGATTGAAAGCAACCATACAGTCCCTACACGAGCTTTACAAGAACAACTTCAACGTGAACACCAAGTAGATATTTCGAAGATGAAGGTATTTAGGGCTAAAATAGAAGCATTGAATCAAGTAGGGGGCGATTATGCAGGGCAATATACTACACTAAGAGACTATGTTCAAGAACTTCACACTCGAAACCCAGGGACAACAGTTAAGATAGAGGTCGAAAGTGAGCCAAACCCGGCTTCTAAGACTAGAACTTTCAAACGGATCTACATCTGTCTAGGGCCATTGAAAAAAGGTTTTATAGCTGGTAAAAGAGATTACCTTGGTTTGGATGGGACTTTTATGAAAGGGCCTTATCCTGGAATGATACTCACAATAGTGGTAAGATGTAAACACATATCTTGTGTCATTTTATTCCATTTTATTTAAATTACTAACTCCTTAACTATGTTTAGGGTCTTGATGGAAATACATGTACATATCCTTTGGCATATGATGTCGCAGAGGCTGAGAATATAAATTCATGGACTTGGTTCTTAAGGTGTTTCAGGACATGTTGTGGAACTATGCAAGTACAACGACAATACAAGAATTCAACCATGCTATGGAAGAGTTCAGAAAACTAAACAATGACTGCTACGAATGGGTCAAAGCTATTCCACCTCAACATTGGTCATAATAAAAGAAGCTGCAAAGGTCAAAGTGCATGTGATGATAGTTCAAGCAAGAAAGGGAAGGCTGGGAAGAAAGCTACAAGTGTAGGTGATGGTAGTTCAATCAAGAAAGGGAAGGATGGGAAGAAAAATCAAAGTACAGGTGATGGTAGTTCAAGCAAGAAAGGGAATGTTTGGAAGAAAGCTCAAAGTGCAGGTGGTGGTAGGCAAAGTGGAACTCAAAGTGCATGTGATGGAATTTCAAGCAGGACAAGGAAGGCTGGGAAGAAAGGGAAGAGTATTGCTTAAGTTATGACCGTGTTTTCATATTTTGTGTATGTGTTATGAACCAATTATGGTGTTATGATCTTTTGTGTTTGTTATATTTGTCATTATGTTTTCTGTCTGTGTTATGAACAATTATGGTATAACTTTTGGGACCTGTTGTCTATGTATGGTATGACTTTTAATGTATCTCTATTTTCAATGATGGTATGAAAAATTAGTGCTATTAATCTGTTTCTATGTTTTTGTTTTAATTCCATTCCATTTAATTCAATTCTATTCAATCATTCAATTCAATTCTATCAATCATTCAATTCAATTCCATTCTAGTTCAATACCATTCAATTCTATTCAATCATTCAATTAAATTCAATTCCATTCCAATAGAAAACCAATCAATTGCATTCCATTACAAACCACTCAATTCCATTCCATTATAAAACAATCAATTCCATTCCATTCCATTATAAAACAGTCAATTGCATTCCAGTACAAACCACTCAATTCCATTCCATTACAAACCACTAAATTCCTTTCCATTATAAAACAATCAATTCCATTCCAAAAGAAAATTGCATTCCAACAGACAATTCTATTCCAATAGTCAATGCCATTCATACATTGTCATTCTATTACATTACTGCCTTGATGAAACAAAAGATAAGTACATTGATAGCATAAATTAAAGCTTGTAAATTAAAATTGACACAAAAAACCCAACTTAACACTAATAACAGCCTCAAGGCCCTATTCTCATGTTGAAGCTCGTCCAATGACTTCTGCAAATCAGGAGAGATACTTTTTTCAGTTTTTTCACAATTAAAGTTGTCCTCATCAACCCAATCTATGAAACCACATTTTGCTCCCTGCATTTTGAGTAATTTCTTATGTGTTAAAGGTATGTGATATATAGATATACTTAAGAAGAAATTACCCTTACCTTCCCAGTACAACAATAGAAAAGTCTTCCAGGGTTTTTCTTGGTAGTCGATCTTCGTATCACACCAACTTGACCATACTTGCAGGTTTTTTCCATTAGGGTCGATCGACACTTCACAGAAGAGGAAATGAAAGAGACGAAGAAAGGGCGTATTTGAAAATAGAGAGAATCGGGGTTTATGGGTGTTCTAATAGATTTTTTATATAAAATGACGAAAATACCCCTCACGTGCGAAGCACGTGGGGGGGACTTAAAGTTTGGAATTGACGACTAACGGACCCAGGGACCAGGCGGGTAATAAAAAGAAAACGTGAGGATGGTCCGAGTGCAAAACAAAAGATAGGGACCAAACGCACAACTTTAGCCAAACCACAAGGACTATTTCAGTAATTTGTTCTTGATTTTTTATGGGTGACATAAATTTATCTCAGAACTAAGGGAGTTATGCTTGATCTGTCCAAAATTAATTCCTCCTCAACAACAGTAAATCTAACAATATTATTGATGATCACTTTGTAGGCAAGCTTTTGAACCCATGACATTGTTAATTTGTAAATAGTTTATCTTAAACACAACCAATTTAATATACATCTATCTATGCAATTTTCAATTGAATTTATTGTATATCCTTGTTTTGATTTCGTCAATGCTTTTGATATGTTTTTTGTGTGTTGATAAAACAGGGGCACACAAGTTGTTCGGTAAATTGTCTACTATACACTTGATACTTCATCTTCATTAAGGTATTCCCTGTAATACCCTCACTTTTCTTTTTTTCTATTATGGTGTTTTTCTCTTTGTCCATACACTACTAGAAGGTACTTTGATTCATATTTTTCATAACTTCGTTGAAAATTAACTTGAAGTTTTCTTATAATTTCAATTAATTGGGCTTATGACTTTTGCAATTAGTTGTCAACTGGTTAAATATAAAAGCCAAAATTCAAGACCAATACATGCCATCCCCACATACATCTTTGACGATTAGCATGAATTCACCATGTTTTAATTATCTTTGTTATTACATAGTCCCATTATAATGGTTATGATCTTCAAATATTATAATCTAAGGTTCTAAAAATAAGTATATAACAAATATGTGGATAATATGTAATACTTTGTTTAATTATCACCCAAATCAAAACAGGTATCGATTTTCTTAAATATTTAACTCTAGCATTGTTTATGTCTAGCAAGTAATTACTTTGATAGTTTTATGTTTTGAGTGTTAATAACACAACATCTCGACTTGTTACTCTTTGTTGAAGAGTTTTGTGTTATAAATATTGAGAGTATTGTTGTTAAACAAGTTAATTTTGAATTTAAGTAATGATATTGTGTTTTTCATTTATTATCTTAATTGCTTTTTATTATATTAAAATTAAAAAAATCAAACCAAAATTTTTAATATAATTGTTTTTGGTGAAAAAAATAAACCACTAAAAGTATGAAAGTATTATTTCATATGAGCAATTATATTAATGGCATAAAAAAGTGCCACTAAAACACAATAGTGTTGTAGTGGCATAACAAAAAGTGCCACTAAAACCTCATAAGGTTGCAGTGACACAATCGAAAAGTGTCACTAAAGGCCTTTAGTGGCAACGTTTTTAGTGACACTTTTATTTTGTTGATGATTGCAAATGAGACCTATAGTGGCATTTTTTTGGTTTTTGGTGACTCTTTTTCTATGCCACTAAATGTCATTTGATTTGTAGTGAGGTGTTATATATATATATATATATATATATATATATATATATATATATATATATATATATATATATATATATAAGGCTAAGGAAATGAGGATGGGTACAATCATATAAGTCATGTACTATCAAGTACCCTAGTCCGATGTGATTGGTTTGTTGTCAATCGTATCATACTAGATATATCAAATGTGTAACACCCTGTTTGAAAGTACTCGGTTGGGTCTCGAGGACCAAAGGGTAGGGGCGATTCGGTCTTTTATGGGTCTCGGGTTTTATCCAGAAGGTTTTAGACTTGGGGGCATCGATGGGAGCGTAGGGCTTCCCGCCACCTTTCTGTGGATATAAAGTTCGTCGGAAACGAACTTAGAATGAAGGAGTTATGACATTTTGAAGCTCTTGTCAATTCTAGCCCCTAATGGAAACTGGTGACAAGAAGATCCCATGCATACAAGGTGGCTGGCACAAGAGTACGCCCAGCGTAGGTGGAGTAAGTGGTCGCGGGTGATTAGAGACGTACACCCAGCGAACGCCCAGAGTCACTAAACCCTAAATTTTTAGGGTGTGACACTATATAAAGAACATTACACCCTCCAGGATCAGCCTCCTTCTCATCCTTCAACCCCTCTTCGAAACCCTATCCCTAATTGTGAGAGTGTGAGCTTGTAAGGCCATCTTGGAGTGCATCTTAGTGTTCTTGAAGAAGAATGATCATCTTAGAGTCTCATTGATCAGGGAAGAGCTTTTGGATCCAGGTTCTCCAACTCATTTGCAAGTCTCAGAAGGTATAAAGTTCCTATCTTGTTATCTTATAGCTTGAGAGCTAGATTAGTGTTTGTTTGGTGTTTCTTATGAGCTTATGGACTATTTCTTCGGAGTTGAGCAACTCTAGAGCTTAGGAAGAGTAGATCTGAGGTCCTTTGGTCCATTTACTTCATAAAAATGTAATCTTGATGAGTATTCTAACCTCATGCATGGATCAATACCCTTGGAAAGGTCTTAATGGGTTGTTGGGAGCATATGGAGCATGCAAAGGAATAAAGTTGCCAACTTTATGCCTTAAGACGTCTTAATGGACTTAGATCTGAAGTTTGATGTTGAAATCCCGAGTATTAAGCACTTAATGGAAAAAGTAGCTTAACAGAGGGGTACGCTGGGCGCACATACAGGTACGCGCAACGTACACCACCTTCAGCCAGTACACTTAGCGTACATAGGGTACACCCCGGGTACTCATCAATCATGGGCTTGTGACGTTTTGGGCTTTGGGTTGGGCCAAGCAGTGGACTTTGGGTCTTTGGGCCTTAGTGGCCATCAGGAGTCAGATGTTTTGGGTCAGGAATATGTTTGGGCTAGGGGCAAGGCCCATTAGAGGGTTTGGGCCCAATTAAGAAAATTGGGCCATTAGTAAACCACTAGTGGGCTCGAAAAGCCTACCTAGTGTTGGGTTTTGTTTTGGAGATTTGGGCCTTAGTTTTGGATCTTACTGGGCCAGGGGTAAAATGGTCATTTTACCCCCATGCATGGATTAATGATTATGGTGTGGGACCCAGTCGCTAATTGGGTATATTGATCGGTATTGATGGTTCAGGAAGCGAGCAGGGCAGCAGTTGAGGATTTCTTCAGGAAGCTTCTACATTCGAGGTGAGTCTTCTCACCATAACAATGGGTCTAAGGCACCAAGGCCGACCCATTTTATGATAGCTGGTATACTTGTTGTGTAGAGGTGTGTGGTATTGTTATGCATTGATATGTGGTAGAGATAGCTTTTACAGCTAGTGGTAGAGATAGCCTTCAAGGCTAACGGTAGAGATAGCCTTCAGGGCTAGTGGTAGAGATAGCCTTCAGGGTAATGGTAGAGATAGCCTTTATGGCTAAGGGTAAAGATAGCCCTTGCGGCTAGTGGTAGAGATAGCTTTATAGCTGATTGATATGTATTATGTGGTAGAGGTAGCTTTATAGCTAATTGACATGTGTTATGTGGTAGAGGTAGCTTTTATAGCTAACATGTTATGTGTTTTGTGGATTGTGTGTGGGGTATGCTCTGGGGAACTCACTAAGCTTCGTGCTTACAGGTTTGTTTATGGTTTCAGGCACTTCAGATCCCAAGGGCAAGGGCAAGGCGTGATGGCGCGGCATGCACTCTCTCACTGACATTTTATGGGACACTCTAACGTTTGGAATAAAAGTTGTATTTGACTTATGTTTTGAAAACAATTATAACTGGATTTCTTAATGTATGGGAATATGTTTACTTATTCTAAAATGAAAAAATTACTTTGAAAATTGGGTCGTTACAAAATGTGCATCAAAATTTAAAAGGGGCGACCAAACCTTGCCTACAGAAGTCGTAGTATTACATAACAAATTTC